TAAATTTTTTTTTGTGTTCATGTTATACAAAACTACAGACAATGAAAATCTGGGGCTGTAGAATTTGAAGGCTGAAATTGTTCAGGTATCTTTCTTACTCTAGCTGTGTGTTAGACTGATGAAGAATGCAATATCCTTCAACTTTTGTTTTATTGCTTTATCTTAAATTTTACAGAATAAAGTTAGGGTAGTTCAGAACACTGTAGTCTCAAATAATTTTACAAGGAGGCTTTCTAACCTACTTCTAGAAGATAGCCGGGCTTGTTTGTATTGAACAGATCCCCTTGGCATTGTTACTGAAGGTGATCTTTGATTCGTATTCAGTATTAGCCTGGTTACGTATAGATCTGGCTGGGTAGACAGAGGAGGGAGAGATCTTTTGAGGTGGTGAGGAAGGGAGAGCGTGATGAGGAAGGGAGAGCTCTTGGCCAAACATCTTGTGCGCTCCTTTCTCATTGTTGCAACACTTAGTCTCTCATAACATTTGCCATCTTTGGTTAAAGCCTTCCTCTTCCTCTTCTCCCTCTGCCCAATCTTTAGATGTTGTAACAGGTGCATTGTGAAGCATATAGATGTTGCACACGATTTGATTTTAAAATAAAAATTTAAGCGGAACATAGAAGCCTTTGCAGTCGTGTTCACACTTGCCTCTTGCGTGTGCTAATACATATGTTAGTACTTATGCTAAATAGAGACCAATGCTTGTGCTACAGGAACCTCAAAAAGAACAATGAAACTTTTCAATTTTGTTTTAGGTCTCAAGAGTAAAAAAGAAGATTGGTTAAAATGTGATTCAGTGAACGAAAGAAAACTGGAAGGGACCTCTACAGGTGAAATGACTTGTGATTATCCATTTCAAAATAAAAATTAAATACTCTCTACTTGGTTTTAAGTGTTCCTTTATACCAGCAAATCTTAATGAAATATTTCAGTTCGTTCTTTACTAGTTCTGCTGCCCAAACGGATACTATCAAGTAGATGCATGTGAGTTTCAAAGATTTGTGGAGACTTTTAGTAACACAAGAATGCATTAATGTGTTTTCCTGCATTCATGTGTGCAGTTGAGTCAAAGGTAGTACCGGTGACAGTATTCGACTACAAGTTAAAAACGTAGGCAAAACCCAAGCTTGTTACGTCGTACTTCAAAATGTACGAAGTTTTAAAAATGTACAAAGGTTTAAAACGTAGGAAGTAATATAACAAAACTTAGTGTTAGACTATTAAAACAAAGTGATTATCTTTTTTTTGGCTTTGTCAATAAGGTGACACTGTCTGCTCCTGCACCCATGCTCACAAATATTGGGACATATGTGTCCTAGTATTCTGGACAGAATTACTCCTATCTGACATAGAGGAAAAGGAGTGCCAGCTACTGCATCCTCCGGTTTCCTCTTGACTGGCAACGACAAATTGTTTTTGGACAGGTCTTTTATACCCTTTATGGTCAATGGTTACTATGGTGTCATCTCTCACCGCAGTCTTGCTTGTTTCATCCTTGTGAATTTTAGGCAGTTACTGCCCATTGTTTTTGTTTCTTTGCTTTAAGTTTCTTTCTCACCATAGTCCATTTTGTTGTTACTCTAACAGTAAGAGAAATGGTGCACTCAGTGTGCTGTAACCTTGTTACCATCCTCTTGTTACCAGAATGCAGGTCTTCTGCTGACAAGTCTGTATTGTGGCCTTGATGCAAGCAAACATTTTTCAGTGTTTACCAGTTTTTTATTGCTCTTAAATGTGTCCTTGGCTATCAGTGCCTGCCATTCTTTTAACTCTTCCTCTTTTGTTTCTTCTCTTACTTTGACAAATGCGTGTTTCCATTCACACTTCTCTTAATGTTCTTTGGAAATCTCTTATACGAAGACACCTGGCATTACCAGTTAGTGCTTGAAAGATGCATTGGAGATGCAATTAAATTTGATGTGATTTGTACTTTAGAGAGTTTGTGGCATCCTTTTCGATAGTGGGAGGGCCTTAAATATCACATGCATAAGCACTAAAGTCATATGGAACTTCCAGACTTTTCGATTAACCTGCTGCTTTATCTGTCTTTCAGTTGAGGACAGTATTCCACTTGATGCAGCTATACAAATCCTGGAAGGAGATGGTGAGGCTCTTCACGTTCCAATGAAGGACTCAAAAGAGATGTTTCAAACCTACAGGAAAATGTATCTGGAAAAAAGATGCAAAAGCCTAGATAGCATTCCTGTGTCATAGGTCTCTCTTGATATCACTGGAAAAAACTGCCAATACCAAAATATGTGGTTTTTCCTATTTACTTCATGTTTGTGAATGATTGTAAAAAATTATATATAAACTCTTGATGTTGGCAGATTTTTTTCTCTATCTGCCTCATATTTGTAAATGACTGAAATTTCACTTATACATCCTGTATTTGTTGCACAAATAGGGTTTGGTGCTGAAAATGTCACTGTCAAATGTATTATCCCTTTTTGGCCTTTTTTTTTTTTTTTAAAAAATACAGGAGTTAGTTGACTCCTTACAAGAAGAAGAAACAAAAGCACACAAACCTCAAAATTATCTGAATTGTGATAGTCTGTTTCTTTCCTGATTCTGGAAAACTTCTACTTGTGATGTTTTCCATTGCTGGCAGTGGAAAAATATTCCTAGTGGAAAGGGATTGCAGTGGATTCACAAGCATTGCATCTTTGTTTTCTGCTTATGATAGCCTGATTATCGTACCTCTAACAAGGCTTTATTTTTTTTTTTGTAGAAGCATTTTTTTTTTTTAACCTTAGAGTACTAAAATAAAACCCTAAAGTTAAACATACAGGCCAGGGGATACCATGAAGTATTTATGCTGCTATCTAGTTTTATTATGTTTATTTTCATAAAGCTTGCAGAAATTGAACTCTGAATTCATCATCTGAACACAATGCTCTAGACTGATGGTTGGCTGAAGAGTTTTCTTCCCTCGTTTTTTGTGTCTGTCTCTCAGCTTTTTTTTTTTAGCTTTTGAAACAAAAGCACAATTGTTGAGGTAAAGGGAGTTTAATTTCAGTTTTGTCTAGACTCTTGCTAACTTAACAAGGCTGTAATTAATTTCTTTGTTTATAAACTATGTTAGCTAATGTTTGACTACAAATTCACTGTGACATAAGAGTTATATTTGTTGCTGGATTTCTTTTGTTTAAGTGCCTTTTCATTATTGTTCAGAATTTTGAATTGAATCATATTTTTTCAGAATTGTGGTATTTGATTCTTTTTATCTGTTTAAACCTTTATACGGAAAGTAAAAACTGTAGATACTTCCTTGACTGATTTTTATACCTGCAATAAACTTTTGAGGGCTATTCCTTGCCTTTTTTAGTATAAAAAGTAGCTAATTGTTTATTGCAGTTAGTTAGAGATTTAAGATATTCCTACAGATGTAAAGCAGTTTTAAAATAATTAAGTGCCAGATCTTCTTCCTTTAAAAGGTTTCATAGATAAAACAGAGAACAGGACTTGAGTCCGAGTTTTTGTCAATGAGCTTGTAACAGCATGTACTTATACCTCCAAAACCATATCAGGAATGTCTCTTCAGCGTCTGTCTTTTCTGCTTTGACTTGGAGTTATGAATTGGTGAATTAGCATCAGAACTCAGAAAGCCTTCAGTATTACACCATTCCGGAAGAGGCACACTTGCAGGGATCTTAGATGCAATTACCCAGTGGATTATAACATTTATAATTCAGCATACAGATAGATCTGGGAAATTATAAACTAGCTTTTTTTAAAGAAGGCAAAAACAATTATCTCCTTCCATCATGTGTATGTTCCTTTTTTTTTTTTTTTTTTTTTTTACTAGGGACCTATTTGGGTCGTATTTAACTCTCCACCTGTCTGGCAAGTAAGATGTCCTAATAACTTGCAAACTTACCCAGCTATTAGTTGATGGGGAATGTTGCCACTGGAGAATTTTGTAACAGCATTGGCAACTCTAAGAAGGGTTTGTTTTCCATTTTCTTGGGAACTTAGCACCTGTATTACACTGTCTGTATCAAAGAAGATTCATGGTAGCTTCAAGTGTACAGTGTGAATAATATATAATTCCTGTTGAGAATTTAATTTAGGGTTTCGTTCTGCTTAATAATATATGAAGCTGACTTAAATGACTGAGTGGAGCCTTTTCACTAGGAAGTTATTCAATCCGTTGGCCCGTGATAATTGTACTCTAAGTATCTGCAGAAGTAAGTATCTGCAGAAGCCCATGCACTGACCCTGTGCACCCAATAAATGAGAATGTCAGGTTTGAGTCCCAGTGCATACAGCTGCATCTTCTTCCTCTTTTATACCAAGGAGTGAATCTTGGCGCGATGACCCATGTTTGCAAGGTGACTTGTGTATATGCTGTTTCTATAGGGCTAGGAACAAATTTTTGCTTGGTGGTTCATATGTTGACTCCGTAGCTCTCCCATAAGCCTTTGCACTTACACACGACTGGCCTTTAGCCTGTGCTACCCTTATTGCATAATTGCTACATGCACCTGCATAATAAAAGGACTGTGCCAGATGCTCTTACTGAATTGCCATTTCACCTGCTCCCTATGTTGCTGACTGAGACCATGATGCTAAAGTTGGCCCTTGGTAAGACACCTGCATCCATCTAGATGTGGCTGTTGGGAAGAAACTAGTGCCATGTTGCTTGGAGAAAACTGACAAATGTCAACACGGGCGACATTCACTAGCAATGGAGATATCTGTCATGGGTCTGATGTTTGGTCCTTGTCTTACTTGTCCCCTGTAGTGTAAAGGAGGTTAGGAACTTGATATGAATGTCACCAGTGGGCTTACTTTATACAACCTTTGATGAATGATCAGCTGGGTGCTCTCAGAGCACTAAAAAGGCTTGCCCACACCCCATGCCCATGGACTCAGGAGCTCCATTTAAGCTCAGACCTGGACCTTCAATCCCTGCCTGAGCTGTGTCATAGGTGTACGTGCCTCCAGCTCTGTTGCAGCCATGGCTGGCTATGGACCTACATGTTGATCTGGACTCTGGCTTGCAGATTGTTTTCCTGGTCTGATCTTGAGCATACCTTGTTGCTATTGACCTGCCCAGCGATCAATCACTGGACTGTGTCTGGCACAGATTACCATCGCTGGACCTGATCTGACCTGCAGATTGACTTCCCAGCTTGACCTCAGACCTCCTTCGCACCATAAACTGATCTGGCAGTCTGGACTTTCATTTGACCCTGCTTACCATGACTGGGCCTGTCCTGCTCTGGTGCTATGGGATATGGCCCCAACTGGTGAGGCCCCTGACCTTCTGGCTCCTGGCTCCTCGTCCCTTAGGTATCAGCCAGCCCTCACTACACCCTGCCAGATGCAGAACTCTAGGATGTGGGTGAGCCACAGCCTATCCTGTTGGTGC